TAACGAATTACTAATTCGAAATTTCGGATTAGTAATCCGAAATAACGAATTACTAATTCGAAATAACGAATTACTTAATTCGAAATTTCGGATTAGTAATCCGAAATAACGGATTGCTAAATCGAAATAACGAGTTACTAATTCGAAATAACGGATTACTAATCCGTTATTTCGGATTACTAATCCGAAATTTCGGATTACATTTTGATGATTTCATATACTTAAGTGGCACGAATAGGCTTTCGTAGAAAACAATGGCCATTGTTTTCTACGAAAGCCTATTCGTGCCACTTAAGTATATGATTTCATATACTTAAAGTGGCACGAATAGGCTTTCGTAGAAAACAATGGCCATTGAACATTTTTTTAATGTTGAAATAGGTTTTAAAAACGTTATTCCACTAACAAAGTAGAGGAATGACATACATACAATACTTCAACTGGTAATTGGACATAAACCACCCAAACTGGAATATACCATTGTGAAAGTAGGGTGTGCAGTGGGGTGGACAATGTTGGGTGGGCCTGTTTTTATCACCTTCACAATAGGATAGACTACACTGTGACTGTGACCTATTATACGCCTTTAATTCATTCAACTCTTTTGACAACATGCCTGTTTGAGATCTCTGCAGATATTATTCTCCTGAAGACGGTTGAAGCAAGTCAACCGAAACGTCGAGACATTCTCAACCAACAACAACAGTTCTTTTCAGAACTATCTATGTGGTGTACCGCAAGCATTAATTATATAACATGCATGTATGTTAATAATCATTATAGATTTTTCCTGATTTCAGTATGTTTCGTTTCTTTATAACTGTCATTAATGCAAGAATAAATATTAATTTTACAGTAGTGACAATTCAATCAAAACAGATAAAATATAAAATAGTAATATCTTATTAACATGAATATTTTATTAACATACATTCATTATTGGATACGACTGTTTACATTCATATTATTATTATGATTATTATTATTACTATTACTACTATTATTATTATTACTATTATCATTATTATTATTATTATTAAATCATATTTAAAGGAAGTAGCGAAAAGTCCTTGTGAATACTATAATATTTGACAAATACTATTACCAAGAGAGAGAAAAAAAGTTATATTAATGTATTAAAACATTACTTAAAAAATGACTTTTTAGATTCAAACTATTAATATTATTAAATGTATTTCAATTTCCATTAAACTTTGAAGTTAATTGTTGTGTTAAAATCATTAGAAAAATTGAAACTAATGAATAACTTTACATGTTATAAACAGTGCAAATAAACAGTAGTTAAAGCATGTGGATCAATTGTGTGTTTGAATGACAAGTTTATGTATGGGAAAAGGGAGGCTAACTTTACTTCAACAAATTTTCTGCTTAGAGTTACTTCAAAGAAGTGTTTGTTAATCAAATATTGTTTTTAAAGTAAACTGAATAATTAGGAATACATTTATTTAAGCACCTTATTTAATTGTATACTTAGTTTCTACTCCCCGCCAAGTAAATTTAAGTGCCTAATACTATACCGTACTAAATAATGTAAACTGAGATACTATATTATATACATAGTTACCGGTATGTAAATATGGCAATTTTGCTAAGAATTAAAATGGCGTGTAAATTGGCCACAAATAAATTATTTTAGTATTAATAAATGCATGATTTATGTTGATTTATTGAATATGTTGTTGCTATTTTTTAACATTTAAATGGAAAAAAAATAAAAAGTGTTATTCATGGCTTTTTTTTATCTTTGAATATTTTATCATTGAATATGTAATTTCTTCAAAAAGTAAAATGTAAATGGCAATTTATTTAATGTTAGATTCCATTTAAAAACTAAATTATTTCAGTTTAAAAAAATGCATATAATAATTTTTTTTTAAATCAGTTTTAATACAGAATTTTATTATTGGGCCATTTTTACCGGGGCCATTTTCGCCGGGGCGATTTTTTTCCCGTACGAAACATTTACATGAAACTCCGCTCGA